TCTTTAGGATGCAACACTTATTTTATGTACTAGATCTACGGTCTAACATCACTCATCCCACTACTATCATAGTGTTTTCATTTCCAGACACGTTAGGTACAGTAATATTACTTCCTACGATCTTACTGTTACACTGAAATTGTTCAGTCTAGTTCACGAACCGTTTTCGTTATACATTCACCTATGTTGACATTGGTGATTGTTAAAGGGTTAGTTCACCCAAAAATGAAAAATAAGTCATTAATTACTCACCCCCATGCTGTTCCAACCCCGTAAGACCTTCGTTCATCTTCGGAACACAAATAAAGATATTTTTGATTGAATCTGAGAGCTGGATCAGTCCTAGATAGACTGCCTAAGGGACTGGCTCTTGACGGCCCATAAAGTCATTAAAGAAAAGGTTTAAATATTCCATGTGCCTACAGCGGCTCAATTATAAGTTTATCAAGCGACGAGACTACGTTTTGTGCGAAAAAAACATAAATAACGACTTTTTTCCACTATTCGATTACTTCCTTATGGGCACATGCGCGAGAACTGAGACGAGGACGTTCTTCTCCTTCGTCTACTTTTTGTTACCGGCTGCTCACCGCTTAGGAGTTTTACCGCCACCTACCGTATAAAATGATGATCCATATATAAGGCGCTCCGGATTATAAGGAACACTGTCGTTTTTTGAGAAGATTAAAGGCTTTTAAGTGCACCTTATAGTGCGGAAAATACGCAAATTGAAAAGCGTATGTACAGCGCGCATCTTCCTCTGCTTGTAAACAGAAAGTTTTGCGCTTCCAGCTATATCAGCACATCATCTTATACGGTAGGTGGCGGTAAAACTCCTAAGCGGTGAGCAGCCGGTAACAAGAAGTAGACGAATGAGAACGTCTTCGTCTCAGTTCTCGCGCATGCGCCCATAAGGAAGTAATGGAATAGTGGAATAAAGTTGTTATTTATGTTTTTTTCGCACAAAAAGTAGTCTCGTCGAATAGCTAACCGATCACAGAAAACGCATGAAGTGACCAGGTGTACACGGTCTCTTTGAATCCATCTTCTACTTTTGTGGAAATTTGACTAAAGTTGTGTCACTCGAGTTGTCTTCTCTGATACGGAGAATGGCGGCGAATACACAAACCTGCCAGACATAGCCAGGTGAGCGTGAACGCGGATGACGTCACGCACAGTCTCAAATTCGAGCCTGAATCCCTCTTATTTATTTCACTGTACAGGATTATAGAGGCAATCGCAGTGATCAGAGAAGGGCTCATTCAGCCCATCAGGCAATTGTTTAACCATGTATGGGTTAGAAAACAGCTATTTTTAACATGAAATGTTGCACAATGCACCTTTAAAGGCACACTATGTATTTTTTCAACCTTGATAATGTATTACCAATGATGTGGTAGATTGACTTACAATAGGTTGAATGACACGTCTGCCATAGCCTGACAGTGTCGGTATCGATTTTACTGGCACTATGTACTTTGGATTTCAGGTAGGAACCCGAGCACAAAAAAAAATAAGCTACAAAATTTGACCGATTTATGGCATACGTCACTTCCCCCACCACCCCCAAATTCCTCAGATTTTGATGTGAAAGCTCAACTCGTGTTTGATTGCCATCTGTATGTTTTCGTCATGGCCGAACCAACAGCTACAAGGCAGAGGTTTTGTCAAAGGACACTAAAAAAAGACAAAGGGAGAGTGACAAATTAAAAGCCAGAACGAGGATCAACATTGGTCTAGCGTTCGCTCGCTGGTGTGAGCTAAAGGAGGAGGAGGGGTGCCCAACTGATGCTGATGCTTGCCTGCACACAAATGCCGTTTCCACAGTGACCCAGCCAAATCACATAAGCAGTGTATTTCCTGGTGTCCCGGCCACAGCCGATGGTGTTATGAGTGTAATAAAAATGCCCACAGCCCAGTGTTCATTTCTACACACAAACACAGCCCGCCACAGTGCAGGGCTCGCACAAATAAAATCGACTCATGTCAATTGTGCATTAAATGTAGTGAACGTGCCCACGACTCAGTGCCCACAGACATTAAACACCACATGTCCCACGACCGTGAACGGCACGCCCTCCGCCTCAATTACTGCAAGCACACACAATCTAAAGACACGGGAGGCTGACTGGATGACTGTTTGTTGACTTTTGCAACAGTGCTGCAGAGCTTGTGGCCTCTAGGGACGCTAGATGTGAAAGTTACAGGTTGAGCGCCACTAGTGGCCAAAAGTTCCACGTTGTGCCTTTAAAAAGTGATACTGCTTGTCACATTGGTTTGGGTTATGGTCAGCTGATAGTAAATGTTGGTGTAGAAATTGTTGACATTAAAAAATGATTAATGTGAATGCATTGTTTTATGACTTTTTTTTTCTTTAATGCTGATTCTGTTTGAGTGATTCACCTTTGAGCAGCGAGCCAGACCCTGATCTACGATTCAAAAGAATCATTTTGATTCAACACGGATCTGAAATGAGAGCTAAGCACATACACACTACCCAGGTAGAAAAGACAAAAAGGCCTTTACACACGGACACTTGAGAATTATACATGCACACAAGAGATCCAGAAGGACTGAGATTGTTTTTTATTTTATTCTTGGACTTCACATTCAACTTTGAACTCAATACAAACCTTTTTTTTTTTTTTTTTCTTGGTGTTGAGTGGAAACCAGACAATTATTTAATGTGAAAAACTGTTTTTTGAGTCTTTGTGATAAAAATTGCTGGCTGTTAATTGAATTTGGCAAAAGTTTTTACTTTTATTCCTCCTAGAGTCGAACCTAGGCTTTATTTAACCCCAATTGGGTAAAATACACTAAAGTACTTGTTCTGTTGTTCCAGTTATACACAACTGGTTTTACTCAACCTCAAGCCAGTACAAACCCATATAACTTTATCAACCCTGAACCAAAGATGAGGGATAAGAGGATGTTGATTGTAACTGCTTAAGCACCAAAAGCCACATAAAACTACCATGACAACAGTTCCAATCATCTATGCACTCGCCGCTCTATTCCAAGGCTTTTTGAAGTCATGTAACCACTTTGTATGTAAAAACAGGTCACAATTCAAACACGTATTCACACGTGTTGAGAAAGTGCAATTCCATATCAAAAAATGAAGGAGGTTTGAGAACAAGTGATGTCACATTTACAATGCAGACTTTGAGAATACAGAGACAACAAAACCAACAGGTTTCTTTCTTCGAATAAGTTAATTATAGGACCTGTGCCTTACCCACTAATAAATATAAGTGATCCCCATTACTCTAAAGTAATTGTCTTGGTGAAGGTTTACATAGACATCATTAAGTAATTGTAAAATATATGATTTGAGCTGCACCATAATTATGTATGCATTAATCACATATAATGATTTCCCAAACAGATGCACAGTGATTTAATTATAAGAAATAACGTTCTTAAATCTCTGTTATGATTAAATGCCTTTTAATAATCATGGTTATTTGTTGGTCTAACGAGACTAAGTCAATCTAATTTAGTCATTAATGGAATCTCTTTGAAGGAACTAAATGCATCCATTTAATTATCAAGGATGAATGTCAGAAAATTGTTAATTCCTTTGTTCTTAAAAGTTGTGAGATTTGACTTATATATACATAAACATTTGGATTTTAAGTTTTGATTTAATGGGGTCAATAATTAGCACATAGTTCCACATACACACTACTATTCAAAAGTTTGAGGCCAGTATTTTTTTTTTTTTTTTTTTTTTTTTTGCGGTGGAGAAAAAGTCTCAAGCTCACCAAGGCTGGATTTTACTTACAGTAAAAACAGTAGTATTACAGTTTTTCTCAATTGCTAAAACACAATTTCTGAAACCTTGCTCCATTTTCTGAAAACATTAAACACAAAACCTCATCTTCAAGCACTATTTACAAAACCTCTGACTCCTCTTGCAAAATGAAACTTTCACCTCAGTTTTACCTGTGTTCAAATTCAAACACTGCTCTCAAAACATAAGCAAAGTGATCAAAAAGCTATACACCATCAAGCAGTCAGTAAACAATACAAAAACATTTTTTTTTTTTTAATTTAAAAAATAAAAAAAAATAAAACACATTGTTCAAAACATATAGTTCTCAGGGAGAAATTTCATATTTTTTTCATTGTACAGTCTGCAGCAGTGCACTGTACTACAGTATACGATATTTAAAGGGACACAAATGAAAAGAGTAAACGTGATCAATGTGCTTCTTGTCTTTGGCCTGGGTCAGGCAAAAGCACTTCGTTGACTGACAATCAAATGACATTTGTGTGTTCAATCAAATGACATTTGTTCTCTATTTGAATTTGATTGTTGCCACTTGTGTTTACCAGTATGAATGATATGTGCATTGGAGTGCAGAATGTGTTTTGAGAATGAGAATGTGTTCAGAGTTTTGCTGAAAAGTCTAAGTGAGATCTGCAAATTGTGTTGTACCATGTGAAATTGTTTGTGGTATTGACAACAGACTCCACAATTAGCTAAATGAGTTCAGGCAATTGAGAACTTTGTTCAGCCAATAGATTTTAGTGTTTTAGCAATTGAGAAAAACTGTAATATATTTTAAATGTAATTTATTTTCGTGATAGCAATGCTGAATTTTCAGCATCATTATCAGTCCTCAGAGCCACATGATCCTTCAGAAATCATACTAATATGCTAATTTGGTGCTAAGAAAAAAAAACAAAAAAAATCTTATTATTTACAATGAAGAAAACTCTTGTGCTGTTAGTTATTTTTGGGAAAACCATGATGCATTTTCTTTCAGGATTCCTTGAATATGAATAGATGAATAGAATGTAAAAAGAACAGCAATTTGTAACAATGCAAAATTTTTTTTACGGCAACTGATTTGATTAATTTAATACATCCTTGCTGAATAAAATAACTTTTGAATGGTAGTGTATCTTGATTTTTATAAATTAATATATATATATATATATATATATATATATATATATATATATATATATATATTAATTTAACAACATACCTTGTAAAGCAAAGGTGCTTGTCCAAGTTTTAGCAGTGCTATTCTATTGGTCACATTTGTACTAGCTTGGATTCTTCTCAAATCCCCAGGGCTCCCATACTGAACGTCCACCACCTCTGCCTGAAAAAAAAAAAAAAGAAATATTTTTTAAACATTTACATTTTTAAAATGGTTGAGCATAGAGTCTCCCCCAGCGTTCTGACCCCTCTCGCGGTCTCTGTGTATGGAATAACAAGCCTCTGATTTGTAAGGTGGTGACTCGCGTAACTCACCTCATAAAGCTATTTGTCACATTCATTACAGATAGCAAAGCGCGAGTAAAAACAAAGTGAACATCTCAGACGGAGTATAATGGGGGACAAGTACATATATTAGCCACCATACTATAAATCACGCACCAACACAGCAAAGATGTCACAGCTTTGAAAGAATTCAAGGCAGATTCATGGCAGCTGCAGGCCGTGGTGTCCTTTTTGTCATTTCGTTTGCACTATTAAACCAGAACCCGGTACGTGAGATTACGAAAAGTGAGTACGTTCAAGTGACGAGGGCTGATGAGGTGGGGTCAAACTAAATGCTATTTAAGGCCCAGAGACACAAAGTGGAAATGCATTACCCGTGCTCAATTCATTTTTCATTAGGCTTGAAGGAAAATGAAACATGATTTCGGGCAGGAGAGTAGCCTACAGTATATCTCGTCGGTATCACAAAACCAAGACCAGTGGATGGGATTTATCACTAATGTCTGCATTTGCATTATAAAAGCGTTCCATCTAACCCCAAAGAAGCAGCAGAAAAATGGGAATAGATGTGATTTGCACCGAGAGGCTGTCATTAAGGTAATGAAATTAACGAAGGCACACATTGTGGAGAACAAATCGCTCCTGTATACAAGCGACGGCTCCTTTCACGAGTCATCTCACCCCCCGGCGACTCGAAGCAGCTAGAGGAAAATAACAATTGTTTTCACATCTATGTGATTGAGGAGCGCCCCGTAATTAAACCTTATTTTGAGGAGAATATTAAATAACACCCTAATCACACGGTTCCATTAGAGGAAATAGCAGCGATATGTCCACTGTGTATCAAAACTCAACACTCCTTAAATGCTCAATTTAATTTTTGCATTTCGCACTAGAGGCATTGTGTCCATTTGATCGAACTTTTTGAAAAAATATCCATGTAAGATTACAATTTGAACTATGTTAACACACAAGCTTTGTCGAGGTGTAGCAGAAAAAAAATTGTCATTTTACCGCTTTTTTTATTATAACACACAATCAATGTTAAATGAATGCAAATGACAACTCCCAACAGTATAGCTCACGTATCAAAGGAAACACTCATCAAGACGTTTCATGCAACACATTTAGAATAGGCATTTTTCCCCTCTCTCCGAGCTATGGGATCAAATCCACTGCATGGCATATGTTCTAAAACTAAGAAGTTTGAACAGTATGCAATTCTTTATTTATCAAAAAGGCTTTGTGAAGAGAAGTTCATAGCAGTGTTGTTAGATCTTAAAGTTTTTGTTGAAAAAAAAAATCAACAAAAATAAAATAGCTTCAACTAAAGATAAAGTCAAGAAGCTGAACTACTGCATGTCCCTTGCTCATTAAAAGTGTATTAGACCCGCCAGGGGAAAACCTCTTTTCCACGAGATATTGAAGCCAAAAAATGTCCTTAATTTTCAATTTATGTAAAATGCATTGCGGCAGCATGCAGACATAGGCAAGACGGCTCGCGACGGCTTGGTGACGACAGATCCAATGGTGGCGCTTTGCGTCCACTACGTCGAGTCCCGCCAAGTCGGGCGTGGCGTAGGCCTATAAATATAAATACGAAGTGAAGCAGAGTGTGCTGAAGGCACGACAAAAATATGAAGAACTCGTTCCCTCTTCTAGAGAGAACCGAGGTCACGTTCTCTCGTACTGCATAATATCTTATGCTAGGGGAACACAGTGTAAAATGCTGTGCGTGCTGGGATCCAACACCAAAGTCCCAATGGCAGGTGCCCAGGGCTCATATAGTGCATAAACACTGAAGCAATGGGGCTGACAGTACTGATCTTTAGACCGAAAGTAGTTTAGCCTCTAAGGCAGGAACCTCTTGGTTATAAAACCTTATAAATGTAGACGGTGAGGCCCAGCCAACCACCATACAGATATCCTACAAGATAATCCCACTATACCAAGTCCATGACGAGGCCACGCCTCTTGAGGAGTGAGCTCTGACACCCAAAGGACACTGCAAGCCTTCAGAAGTGTAGGCCAGCGCTATACCATCAACTATCCTTCTTGATAGGCTGTGTTTCGATGTGGCTAGACCCTACGGACGTCCGGTGAACAAAACAAAGAGCTGCTCAGTCTGTCTGAAAACAGACGAGCAAGACATATAAGCTCTTAATGCCCTGACTGGGCAAAGGAAGCTCACATCCTTTTCCTCGTTGTTAATCAGGAGGGCAGACAGGGAAATAACCTGAGCCCTGAATGTACCCGTGTCTTGGTTTGAGTATGACTTTCGAGTCATCTGGCCCAAATGCCATACATGTCACACTTACTGAGAGCGCTTGTAAATCCCCTATGCGCTTCACTGAAGCAAGAGCCATTAGAAACACTGTCTTGAACGACAAATGTTTCATGTGGATAAAAATGGACAAATGGATTGGCTCAAATGGGGCACCTTTCATGGCTTACAAAACAATCGAAAGGTCCAACATGGGGACTGAAGGGTGTCTGGGAGGATTTAGCCTCTTCGCTCCCTTAAGGAAGAAAATGACCAGATCGTTCTTCCCCAGTGACTGGCCAGTCTCTGGTTTAGAAAATGCTGTTATGGCTGCCACATAAACCTTGAGCGTGGATGGGGTTCTGCCCTTATCCAGTTGCTCTTGAAGGAAGGAGAGAACTTCCGTAACCCCACAGTCTAGGGGTGAAAAACCTTGAGCTTTGCACCAGCCAGAAAACACAGACCATTTTGAGGAATAGAGTCATCTAGTAGAAGGAACTTTAGCCTGCGGGATCATGTTTAACACTCCCTCCAAGAGGTTAGCGGGTACCCGTTAATTGCCCATGCATGTATGGACCACAGCTCCGGACGAGGATGCCAAATCGAGCCCTTGGCTTGAGAGAGGAGATCTTTCTTCACCGGTATTGACCATGGGGCAGTGGTTGTCAGCTGCATCAGAACAGTGAATCAAGCCTAGTTTTTCCAGAGTGCAGTGACAAGTAGCACTGAGCATCCGTTTTCCCTGATTCGTTCCAATACCCGAGGCAGGAGCGAGATGGGGGGGAAGGCATAGAGTGGGCAGCAGGGCCAGACGTGGGCCAGCGCACCCAAGCTCTTGGAGAAAAACTTCTGACATTGAGCGTTTTCTTGAGATGCAAAAGAGATCTATCTGCGCTCTGCCAAATGTTTCCCACAGCCGACAGTCTGTCTTGTTCCTAATTCCGGTGACCAGGCACATGTGCTGCTCTCAATGAGTGCAGATTGTGCTGAGCCCAGACCAGGAGGCATCCCTTCAACCTCTAAAGGTTTTGAGACCTGACGCCACCCTGGCGATTTATATAGGCCATCACTGACATGCTGTCCGAGCAGACCAAGACGTGGTGATTTTTTTTATCTGGTGACAAAAACGTGTCAGCGTGTTGTCGACTGCCATAATTTCCAGAGAGTTTATGTGTAGAAGCTTTTCCCGTTTTGACCACTGTCTAAAGAACGGTCTGCCCTCGAGCAGCGCTCCCCATTCCGAGGTGGAGGCGTCCGTGGACACCACCTTCACACTCAAGGAAGTCCCCAGGTTTACACCTGACTGGTACCAGTCGATTGCTCTCCAAGGTTTCAGAGCTGTGACTCATTTCTGATCGACCTTGAGGCGAAACAGACCGGAGGCCCATGCCTGAGGAGGTACTCACACTTTTAGCCATAACTGCAGCAGGCACATCCGAAACAGATCCAACTGGAGTACTGATGATGCTGAGGCCATGAGACACAGCATTTACTGAAACCTTTTGAGCGGGACTATAGTGCCGCGGCAGAAGGATTTCGTGATGCACTGAATGTTAAATCTACGCTCTGGCGATAGTCACACTGTCATAGACTGCGAGTCCAGTTCTGTGCCCAGAAAAGATATTCTCTGACTAGGAGACAGCAAACTTTTTTTTTGCCCAATTGACTTTCAGACCTAGATTATCAAGATGTTCGAGTAATATGGTCCTGTGTTCTATGAGCTCTATGAGAGTGTGAGTAGTTCAAAACTCACATGCCTGAAGTTTCAGGGGTGTGAGAGCCACGTCCATGCACATTGAAAATGTATGGGGTGTTAGGGACAGGCCGAAGGGTAGGACTGTTAGTTAGAGAAAGGAGACAGCAATGGAAGCAATGGAAAAGAGCAGAACAGCCTACAAAAGAAGGAACGTGTGAGGGCAATTTTCTATAAAGACCCATTCAAATTCGTAAAGAAGTTATTCACCAGTGAGAAGAATGGCATTTTAAAAGCATCTAGTTTTGAGCTAGAGAGATATTTGGAGGAAACGCATACAGATGCAAAAAGGCATTAGCCTATGTCAATTCCATCAGACATCCCACCTATCAATCCACCAGAATACCAAATGGAGGTAATGAATACTGTGCACCTAAGTGGAAAGACGTAGAGCATGCTGTGAGAAAGGCAAGGGCTTCATCATCTCCAGGGCCTAATGGAGTTCCATACAGAGTATACAAGAGTGCTTCAGGAGCTCTACGAATTCTGTGGAAATTGCTAAAAGTGGCATGGTAAAAACAGGTTGTACCTAGAGCATAGCACAGAGCAGGCGGTGTCTTTATATCTAAAGAAAAAGATGCTAAAAACATCAGTCAGTTCATCCTATTTCACTAATAAATGTTGAAGGTAAAATTTTCTTCAGCCTTATTGCACAGAGATTGTCCACCTACCTATTAAAGAATGGCTTCATTGACACTTCAGTTCAAAAAGCGTGCATTCCAGGGTTCTCAGGATGCTTAGAACACATCAATGTTATCTGGCAACGAATTCAGTTGGCTAAAAAGGAGAGAATGGAGATCCATGCGAGTTTATCTCCTCCTAAATGGCACAAGGCAGGCCAAGCTCAAAGGAGGAAGCTGGT